AAAAAGATTAATTTTAAAAGAAAGCAAGGCAAATAGCTCAGGATAAATTACTAAAGAATAAGAGAATATATATATTGTTTAGGAGTGTGATGCATTCCTGAACCATATATTGGTTCTACCATTTATTACATGTGGTTTCTTAAACTTTCTGGGCCTCAGAAAGCTTTACTAATCTGTAAAACGGAGAAATAATACCTGCTTCATACAGTTACCATGTGCATTAAATGAAATTGATGTTACCACCCTTTTGGATATCTGCCTGGCTCCCAAGTCATTTTTTTTTTTTTGTGGGTTCACTTCCTCTAAAAAAGGGAGAGCCCCCACAACTACAATTTTGTGTTACATGACCGCTACACTAGTGGACACTTAACTAAGCTAGGCTAATCACAAAACCTCTGAAGAATTTAGAATGAGAAAACAGTTCATTCTCTATCTGGGCTATACCATGAACACAAGAGTTGTAAATCTCCAGAACACTAACAACAACTAGTCAAAAAAAACCAAATAAATAAAGAGAACAATCTGATTTAGAATAGCATCCAAATGAATCTGGAAATCATTATACTTATTGAAATAAGCCAGTCCAAAGGGAAAATACCATAAGTTTTCCCTGATCTGTGATAACTAATAGAGCACCTAAAAGGAAATTTGTAGAAGTGAAATTGACACTTTGAGAAGCAATGACTTGAACAGCCCTTGTCTCGACTGTCGAGGAATAGGTTTTTGTTTCTGTTTTTGTTTTCTTAATGAAGAATGGGACTGGGAATTGGAGAAGGAGGAGGAGGAGGTGGGGTGGGAGTGGGGGTGGGAGGGTGGATAGGATGGGAATAATCACTATATTCCTAAAGTTGTACTTATGAAATTTGTACTTATTAAATAAACAGCTTCTTTGGAGAAAAAAAAAGAATAGCATCAAAAAATAAATGAATGAAATAAAATACTCAGGAATAAATTTAATTAAAGAGGGGAAGGGAAGGTCTGTACACTTAAAGTTATGAAATACTGATGAAAGAAAGTGAAGAAGACACAAAATAATAGAAAAACATTCCGTGTTCATGGATTGAAGATTTAATGTTACCAAAAGCAATCTAGAGATTCAATGCAATCTCCATGAAAATTAAAAAGGGCAATTCAGATAGAAATAGAAAAATAAATTCTAATATGTGTGAAGCCACACAGGTCTGAATAACCAAGAAAATTTGAGTAAAAAGAACAAAATGGAAAGTATCACATTTCTCATTTCCAAATATACTACAAAACTATAATAATCAAGCATCATATTGGCTTTGAAATAGATATACAGACAAATGGAAAAGAACAAGCAACCGAAAAATAAATCCAAGTATTCATGGTGAACTAATCTTTAGCAAATGTGCCAAGAATACATGGTGGGGAAAAGACAGTCCTTTTAATAAAGAGTGTAGGGAAAACAGGATATCCATATGCATAAGAATAAGAATGAACCCTATCTCATCAACTTAAAATGTATTAACTATTTATTTTTAGGACCTAAAGCTGTAAAATGAACAGAATAAAACACAGGGTAAAAGTTTTTGACATTGGTCAAAACACACAGGGAATAAAAGCAAATATACATAAATGCAATTGCATCAAACTAAAATATTCTATATAACAAAAGAAACAATCAACAGAGTGAAGAGAAAAACCAACAGAATTGGAGAAGTAATCTGCAGAACATACATCTTCTTATAAGTGGTTAGTATCCAAAATATATAACGAAGTCAAACAACTCAACAGTAAGAAAACAGCCCAGTTTAAAAAGTGGCAAATGATCAGAATGAATATTTCTCAAAAAAGACACATATACAATAAGCAGAAATATGAAGAAATGTTAAATACCAGTAATCATCAAGAAAATAGAAATTAAAAACATAATGAGCTATCACCTCATATCTATTAGAATGACTATTATCAAAAGGACAAAATATAACAAGCACTGTTTTTGGCAAGGATATGAAGAAAAAGGAACCTTTGAAAAATCAGTAGAAATATAAATTTATAACACACCATAATGGCAAATAGTTCGGTGGTTCCTCAAGAATTTTTTTTTTTTTTTTTTTTTTTTTTTTTTTTTTTTTACAGGCAGAGTGGACAGTGAGAGAGAGAGACAGAGAGAAAGGTCTTCCTTTGCCATTGGTTCACCCTCCAATGGCCGCCACACCGCGCTGATCCGAAGCCAGGAGCCAGGTGTTTATCCTGGTCTCCCATGGGGTGCAGGGCCCAAGCACTGGGGCCATCCTCCACTGCACTCCCTGGCCACAGCAGAGAGCTGGCCTGGAAGAGGGGCAACCGGGACAGAATCCAGCGCCACCGACCGGGACTAGAACCCAGGGTGCCGGCGCCGCAAGGCGGAGGATTAGCCTATTGAGCCACAGCGCAGGCCCTCCTCAAGAAATTTAAAACAGAAATACTGTAAGATTCAGCAATCCTACTTCTGGGTTATATGTCCAAATGAAATCAAGTGTGTCAGAGATACATGCACACGAGACTCACAGCAGTATTATAATTTTATCTTGCTTAATATATCTAAATTTCAGAAAACATACAAAACTGACTCTTATTTCACAGAGCTACTCCAATCAGTTTTATGTACTAAAGTTCATGACACCTGATTTTAGTCTAGTGTACATTACCATGCAAAATATAAACATGGACAATCTGAACCAATGGATTGCACTGTTTCCCTAATAACATGCAGAAAGTATTATTTTAAAAATGTAAGTGCCAATTTTAATCACACTGCATTGATACTTGAAAAACTATATATTCTAGCATGAATAAAATAGTTTTTGTAATATCTGACTTCATGAATATACTTTTCTGTAAATAAACTTCCAGTTACTATTCATATTTGCATGTAAATGGCACCAACGTACACTGACAAGATTTGGACCATCCACATTAAAATTGCTGAAGCATATTTGAAATTTAATTCTCAAAAGTGACTAAAGAATATCAACGATTACAAAATCAGCTGGTAAAACATCCTAAATGAAATTTATGAACACTAGAGGGTGCTCTAATTCAATTATACTTCACATCTAGCTTTCGATACTCAAAATACTATAAAAATTAAGACAATCTTCCACACTAACAAATGTTTCTTTCAATACAGGGGGATATTGGAGAGCCAAAATTTTCCATTCTTTGAGAACATTCAGAATTCCACTGAAATCATTTTTATTACATATACAGAAGTATAAAAATAGTCCTTTGCCTATAAAACAAATCAATGCAATGCTTAGTTAAGAGAAAGTAAATATTTCTGTTGTAGGCTTAAGTTCAAGATAAATTATAAAATGAATTTGATAAAAGACATAGTAAACTTAAGCTATTAAGGTATAATTCAGCAACTTTACAAGGGTAATTTGAGCTGGCGCCGCAGCTCACTAGGCTAATCATCCGCCTAGCGGCGCCGGCACACCAGGTTCTAGTCCCGGTTGGGGCGCCGGATTCTGTCCCGGTTGCCCCTCTTCCGGGCCAGCTCTCTGCTGTGGCCAGGGAGTGCAGTGGAGGATGGCCCAAGTCCTTGGGCCCTGCACCCCATGGGAGACCAGGAGAAGTACCTGGCTCCTGCCATCGGATCAGCGCAGTGCGCCAGCCGCGGCGGCCATTGGAGGGTGAACCAACGGCAAAGGAAGACCTTTCTCTCTGTCTCTCTCTCTCACTGTCCGCTCTGCCTGTCAAAAAAAAACAAAACAAAACAAAAAAAAAAAAAAACAAGGGCAATTTGAAAGATGTTATTTAAATGAAACAAAAGTGATATTTTTATAGGATCTTATCTGCTGTCTTAAATATTTTTAAGCCAACAGCTATATGAAATAAGAAAAGAAAGGTCAGCACTGTGGCATAGTAAGCTAAGCCGCAACCTGTGATTGCAGCATCCTATATAGGTGCTGGTTCGTATACTGGCTGCTCCTCTTCCAATCCAGCTCTCTGCTACAGTCTGGGAAAGCAGTAGAATATGGCCCAAGTGTTTGGGCCCCTGCACCCACATGGGAGACACGGAAGCAGCTCCTGGTTCCTGGCTTCGGACTGGCCCAGTTCTGGCCATTGTAACCATTTGGGTAGTGAACCAGCAGATGGAAGACCATTCTTTCGTCTTTCTATCTGTAACTCTACCTCGCAAATAAATAAATAAATCTTTTTTAAAAAGAGAAAGGAATCTAAGGTTTTTAAAATCCAGAAGAAGAAGTAGTATCAACTCTTACTCTTCAAAGGAAAAGTATTTGGAGCTATATTTAAAATTTAGTTCAACAACATTAATAAGTTCAATTATAAAGCTTTGAAATTTTCACTTATTTGTTGCCATCTGGCAAACCAGAATTTCTTCTGGGGTATGAGTGCCAAAAGATACTATTAATCAATCACAAATAATAAAGTTTAATGGCTAGCAAAATATATTATTTGTGTTTCAAGAAAATGCCTATTAACTGAGCCATTATTTAATCCTAATAATGTGTTTTGCCTCCAAAAATGACTAGAGGAAAAAGCTGAAAATTACAAATATTTCTAAAATTCATATATCCAAAGTCATCAATTTTTCACACAAACACACATGCATATTCACTGCTCACTAATACACAATCCCTTCCCCCAAGAAGGGAATTTATGGCTTATCCATCTCTTATTCAGTTTCCCAAAGAATTATCAAGAGTCCCAACAGCAAAGTATGTTTCTAAAACAGCCAGGTATGGGAAAGTTTTAGACCTTATTAACATGTCTCAAATTGTACTACCAATATTCTATTTTGGGACTTCCCCATAACCCTAATCATGATCTTAGCTTCCCAATGACATTTAAAACTTTTGTCCATACATCAGAAAAGCACGTAACCTACCATAAAGTAAATACTGGGTAGGAACATGTAATTTCACTTATAAAAACACCAACTTGCATCTCCTAATAGAATGTTTCCTAAACATTTACAAATTATGAGGCCAGAGTATTTTACTCATATAGTTGTTGAAGATGAATACCTGCTCTCCATGATTTCTGAATCCAGTTGCAAACTAATGGTCTCTGTTGTAATCTCCACTTTCCGTACACTTCCAAAGAAATCAGTTATCAGGACATTTTTAGGATCCCTCTGGAAAAGATCAATGCGATGTCCAGGAGTAGATACACACAGACTTTTAGGACATACCTGGAACTGGAAAAAAATATACATATATAAAACATTCACATACATATACATTTAACTTTTATTAAACCCAAATCTCAAATGAGTAGATGTAGTGTAATATTTTTAAAGCTCTCCCACCCTAAAGAAGCTACTGTTTTTATAGATGTAAGTTTCATACTTACTGTAATTCTTGATATTCTAAGAATCCTATACAAACATTATACTGCAATTAACAGGGAAGATAGTGGGAAAAATATTCACTTTTTTTAACCTTCTCCTACAAAGTATATTTTGAATCCTTTTATCCAATGAGAACACACACTCAACACTATGACAACAGAATTTTTTCTGTATTTATATTCATCTCAGATGGTTTTCAAACATTTTGTAATCAGGATCCTTGATCAAACTTGAAATTCAAATGAAATATTAAAGGGAACTAAATATGTTTTTTAAAAAAAGCCTAAAATCTTCTGGATTGCAGGAAATTGAAGCATAGCCTTCTTACTGCACCTTCCCCTTACTCTTTTTTTTTTTTTTTTTTGGACAGGTAGAGCTAGAGAGGGATAGAGAAAGAGAGAAAGGTCTTCCTTTTCCATTGGTTCACCCCACAAATGGCCGCTACAGCCACCCCTTACTGTCCACTGTGTGAATATATGTCATCTGATAAATCAAACAATGTTCTTAGTTTATCTATCATGGAGATAAATTCCAGGCGCCTCCACTCAAATTTTGGTGCCCCAAAGAACACAGTGTGAAAACCACTTCATTGCTATATAACCAGTGATAGTCCACGTCAGTGAATTAACAAGGACAAACGCATATTCACTCATTAAGCAAAGCATTAAAAAATATCTGTTACACACAGTTCACACTGTTATCTTCCACAGAGAATGCAAAGACTGTTAAGACATAGTCTTGTCCTCAAGGCTATAAGTCTACCTAGAGATGAGTAAACATAGCAAGGTAGGGGAAAGATGAGTTCCTCCTTCTGAAAAGTTCATATAGCAGAGTGTTTGGCACAGACATTAAGTTGTCACTTGGGAGGCCTCTGTACCCTATCAGAAGGCCTGACTTGAGTTCTAGCTCTTCTATGTTGGATTCAGTTTCCTGCTAATGCACACTCCAGGAGGCAACAGTTGATGTCTCAAGTATTTGGGCCCCTGTCAACCACAAGTGAGACCCAGAGAGCATTTCAGGCTCTTGGCATTAGCCTGGCTCAGACCTGGCTATTGTGGCCATTTGGGGAGTGAACCAGCAAATGGAAGAGGTATCTAGCTTCCCCTCACCTTCACCTTTCAAATAAAGTAAAATTTTTTTTAAAAAAATTCTATAACAAAAAAAGAGAGAGAGAGTAGAGTTTAAGCTATTTTTTGAAGGAAAGCACAATTTAAGGATGGGTAATAAAAACATTCCTAATAAGGGAGCAGCTGCACAGAAGTGCAGAGCAAATGACCTAGCTTGACTGAGCACAAGGTACATAAATAAAGCACTCACAGGCCTGCCAGTAAGGGCTTAGGCCCACAGCACCCACCTTCATATGGAGACAAGACCAGATGCAGAGGCATTCCCCAACATGAGGACAGAAAGAGGGGGAAGGGCAGAGAAGCCACAATTTATAAAACACAATGCTCTAAGCCCAGTGCTAAGCAATTTCTTGATAACCCCATTTAAGCCTACTAATAACTCAGAAGTGTATAAAAGCCACATCTCCACTTCAAACTAAGGCTCAAAGAGACTAAGCAATTTGCCCAACATCGAACTGCCAGTAATCCTTGCCTTTCTCAATCAAGAATGCAGTTATCTACAACAAAACACAAAGAGGGGCTGGCGCTGTGTCACAGTGGGTAAAGCTGCCACCTGCAGTGCCAGCACACCATATGGGAGCATGTTCGAGTCCCAGCTGCTCCACTTCAAATCAAGATCTCTGTTATGGCCTGGGAAGGCAGTAGAAAATGGCCCAAGTGCTTGGGCCCTTGCACCCGTGTAGGAGACCTGGAAGAAGCTCCTGGCTCCTGGCTTTGGATTGGCCCAGTTCTGGCTGTTGTGGCCATTTGGGGAGTAAACCAACAGATAGAAGACCTCTCTCTCTCTTTCTCTCTCTCTCTCTCTCTGCCTCTGTAACTCTTTCAAGTAAATAATAAATCTTTTATTATAAATAAATAATAAATTTCAAATAAATTAAATCTTTAAAAATTTTAAAAATAAAATACAAAGAAGAGAACAAGATTTAAATTAAGAAATAAAGAAGGGGATGGGGGTGGATGGGAATGGGTGAAGCCCAAAAAAGTAAAATGCCAGGAAGCATACAATAGATGGAATGTTGAAGAAACAACATAAAAGATAAAATACACAGGGACAGACTGAGGTCCCAGATATGTTGCAGGTTTCTCGAGAATTCTATATGAAAAAATTTAGTTTATTAGGCACCAGCAGAAGAAAATAAAGAACAGTTAAATGAGCTTGGGAAACAGTAAGCTGTATTATTTTCTTCTTCTTCTTGCTGCTAAAATAAACAAACTTCCACTTATAAAACCATTCCTTCTTTCAAGAATGTTCATCATTTCAATCTGATTTCCTTAGCCTCAGCAACAAAATGATCCACAGGTTCCACATTACTCAGTCTAATTTGCAGTCTAATTACTCAGTCTAATTCCCTTCATTTACACAATTTCCACATTTTAGCCAGGCTATATGTTTATTACCAAAGCCAAAGATCCCCTATTAGTCCAACTTCTATACCATGCATCTGCAGGAATTCCATTTCCCTGTAGTATGCTATACTTCCTTCAAACCTGAAAATTTACCTCTTCCAAGAAAAATTTTAATCATTTAGCCTCCATTATATTTAAAGGAATCATACAAATATGCATTGTTGTCAAGTCCCTTCATACGTTCAGGAAGCATTCATTGAGAACTGACAAAACAACATATAATACACTGAAGTTCTACAGATATTAAGATGCATACAGCACTGTCCTTATACTTCTTATTCAAGAAGCTCAAGGCTTTGCAATAATATCACAAATACAATTACAGTGCAATATTCGGTATAATGATGGTATAAGATAAGAGTTAAATATTATCAAAGAAAGGGCTGGCGCTCTGGCGTACTGGGTTAAGCTGCCGCCTGGAGTGATGGCATCCCATGTGGGCGCCGGTTTAAGTCCTGACTGCTCCACTTCCGATCCAGCTCTCTACTATGGCCTGGGAAAACAGTGGAACATGGCCTAGTTCCTTGGGCCCCTGAACCCGCAAGGAAGACCCAAAGGAAGCTCCTGGATCCTGGCTTCGGATCAGCACAGCTCCGGCCGTTGCAGCCAATTGTGGAGTGAATCAGCAGATAGAAGACCTCTCCTTCTCTCTGTGTAACTCTGACTTCCAAATAAATATATCTTTAAAAAAATTAACAGAGAAAAACAGGATGAGAGTCCAGAAACTTCACGTTTACTAACACACTTTATCAATGTGTTATTCAACCGTTAAAATGAATTTTAACTGTTAAAATGTTTTCAGGGGGTTAATCATCAGTCTTCTAATTTTCTTGCTACTGAAGCAACCAATGTAGCTGACACTCAGAAAATTTTATTACACACATGTAATCCATCAGAAATAGGTATTATTATACAACTGACTTAGAGATATGTCAGCATCACTGTACTGAAAGAAAGTGAACCATTCTTACTGAGTAACATTAAAATATCTATCAACACATTTTTTAAATGAAGCTGGGAAGGCAAGATGAGATATTTGTGAGGAATGTTCATTAAAAAATAAATAGTGGCAGCAGACATTTAGCCTAATGGTTAAGATTCCTGCATTCCATTAGGGAGTTGCCTGGGTTTGACTTCTGGTTCTGGCTCTGGACTACAGTTTTACACCAAATCAGACCCTGGGAGGCAATGGCGATGGCTCAGGAAGTTGGGTTCTTCGCGCCAACCATATGGGAAACCTGGATTGTGGTCCAGGTTTCCAGCTCCTAACCCTGGCACTGTGGGCATTCAGAGAATAAAAGAGCATATGGGAACTCTCTCTAGCTCTTTCTGCCTCTCAAATATATTTTTTTTAATTTTTAAAACTAAATAGCAATGTGAACAATAAAAACAATTTTTTAGTTTCCTCAGTCTTTCCTATATAATTTCAATGAAGAAGTGTTTTTAAAGAATCCATTAGAAATTCACACTTTGAGATTCTGAACTTCTGAAATAATATGTCATGCATTATATACAATGTACAAAACAAACAACAAGAATAAACTTTTAAAGTACCTGGAGTTTAGAAGATTATAATATTAACATAAAGTAGCATTATCAAAAAGTTTATTTTAATATTTAAATTCACATCAAGATTTAATCAATATATATCATCTTTAAAAACTAGTGAGAGGTTCCAAGCTGGTGGAGTACGGAGGGAATTTACTGCTCTAGCCCAGGAGAAGATAGTTTTTAAAAAGTGGAAATAGTGTAGTCTCAGAGAAGAGTTAGAGGAAAAATGGCAGAGGAAACTCTATCGAAATTAGAGGGACACGGTGGACCTATGTGGAGAGCGTGGGCGCCCATGGCTCGGAACTCCAACAGCTGAGAGCCTACGGTACCAGCGCTGGAAAGTGAGGTGAGACCGGACTGCAGCAGTCCAAGCCACTGTGGAAAAAGCGGCAGGAAGAGCCCAGAGGGAACGATGCTTGAAGCCCTGTGGGGGAAAGTGTACCAGACAAAATAGAGGAGGATAAAAAAAGATGGGACAGACATGTTTTTGTCTCTCCAATCATTTTACAAAGGTTGTTCTGTGACAAGCCGATAGAACGGATGCCATTTTGGACATGCATAACAGCTGTGCCAGCTTGTGTCTGCACCCGGCAATCAGCCAAGCAGAGAAACCTGACTCGGTGGGGGGGGGGGGGGGGGGGCTGGGAGCTTGTGACTTTCTGAAGCTTTTGAACTGGCACTGTGAAAAAAACTGAGGTGTGTGGGGGGAACCACAGTATGGCTGAGACTTTGAGCAGTCTCATGGAAGACGCCACAAGCTCA